AAATAAACAGGTGACAAAATGCTGTTGATATATGTTGAGATAGAGAGTGGGTCTTAGAGAGAGGAAAAAGAGAGGCTGAGGAAGCTCTTTCTTGCTCTTATTTGCAAGATAAAAATCAGAACATTCCAACACTAGAGTGGCAGCATTGGTTTCTATGGCACAGGCTGTGAAATTGTAAGATAGCCATAAAGTAACCAAGCAAGTGGTTAAAATGCCATGTCTCAGCTGAGAGCAACTTCAGTTTATACTTCAACTTGTAGTAATTTTTAAATATATATTATTGATTTCTGAGAGGAAGGGAGAGGGAGTGAGAGATAGAAACATCAATGAGGAGAGAGAATCATTGATCAGCTACCTCCTGCACATCCCACACTGGGGATCAAGCCCACAACCCAGGCCCTGACTGAGAATTGAACCATGACCTCCAGTTCATTGGTCATAGCTCAACCACTGAGCTTTGAAACCTATAGAAAGAAGGATATAAAACCCTTGAACTCCCACTAGGGGGTGCTCATATCAGCTGAACTGTCTGCTTGTGCTTTATGCCAAGTGTATTTTTAATAAATTTGCTTGCCTTGCTTGCTTAATAAATTTTCTTGCTTTGCTACAACACTGCTGTCTCTCATCTGAAATCTTTCTTAAAGTTTGACAAGAGCTATAAAAGGGCTCTTGTCAGGGAGCTGTCCACTAACACTAGGACAGTGCCAGTGTTTGTTATAGGTAAGTGAGTCTTGTTACAGGTGCAAGGTTCATGTGCCTGCTGCTTCAAAAGAAAGGCCAATATTCCATACTTCAGAGTAGTGAAAGGCTTATTGATCAAGAAGGCCTAGCTCAAGAAGATGGGAGTGTCTAATGGCTTTCACAAATCCATCTTAAGAGACCTCAAGTTTCAAGCATCTTTTATTGTCAAAGGAAGGGAGGAAGGGTGAGGCAAGAGGTGGGTGCAGGCAGTAGACAGTTAGTCATCTAGGTGTCAAAAGAGATCCAAGGACGATTGCAAAATTTCTAAATCTAAATTCCCTTGTTCCTGGTCGGTCTGCTGATCTGGGTCAGGTTCTGGAGACTCTTATGCTAGGTGTACCAGTTAATAATGCAGATTTTTTTCAATAGATGGAGTTACACATATGTTGATATATATGCAATTTGATATATATGCTATTTTGTTGTATTGACAGCAAGCTTCAAAACTTCATATGTCTGCCGAGACCGGTTTGGCTCAGTGGATAGAGCGTCGGCCTGCGGACTGAAAGGTCCCAGGTTCGATTCCGGTCAAGGGCATGTACCTGGGTTGCGGGCATATCCCCAGTAGGAGATGTGCAGGAGGCAGCTGATCGATGTTTCTCTCTCATCGATGTTTCTAACTCTCTCTCTCCCTTCCTCTCTGTAAAAAAATCAATAAAATATATTTTAAAAAAAACTTCATATGTCAAATTTGCTGAAGGTGTTAACATCATAGATATTTTTATGCTTAAAAGTGTAGAATTTTGTGCCAAAAAAAGAGCATTTACGGGAAGTTTTAATTCATTACTTTATTTTGAAGAAAAAGTTATCGTATACTTCGGGAAGCTTATGGTGAACATGCTCCATCTCAAGATACTTGTTAACGCTGATTTACATGCTTTAAAAGTGATGATTTCTATGTGAAAGACAAAGAATGTCCAGGTCAGCCGGAAAAGTTTGAAGACCAACAATTATAAGCATTATTGGATGAAGCTGCGTGTCAAACTAAAAAACAACTTGCAGAAAGATTAAACGTTGCTCAGCAAACAATTTCCGATCATTTACAAGCAATGGGAAAGATTTTAAAGCAAGGAAAATGGGTGCCACATCAACTGAACAAAAGACAAATGGAAACCCAAAAAGTCATCAGTAAAATGTTACTTCTACGGCACGAAAGAAAATCTATTTTTGCATCGAATTGTGACTGGCGATGAAAAGTGGATTTATTTTGAGAATCCCAAATGCACAAAATCACAGGTTGATCCAGGTCAACCATCAACAATGACTGCAAGGCCAAATCGCTTCGGAAAGAAGACTATGCTCTGCGTTTGGTGGAATCATGAAGGTGTGGAGTATTATGTGCTTCTAAAATCAGGTGAAACCGTTAATACTGATTGTTATCGACAAATAATCAATTTGAACCACACTTTGATCATGAAACGACCAGAATGGGCCAGAAGAAACAGCAAAGTAATTTTGCTTCATGATAACGACCATCACACACTTCAAAACCAGGTAAAGACACATTAAAAGATCTGGCCTGGGAAGTATTAACTCACCCGCTGCATTCACCAGACCTTGCTCCTTCAGATGACCACTCGTTCCGATTGATGGCACACGCACTTTCTGAGTGAAAGGTTCAGAGTGAGCCGGGGTCGCGCACCTATGACATGAGGCCATAATGTATCAAAAGAGATTTTATTCCGACTGCGTGGGTGCAGGTGGGCTGAGACCGAGAAAGGCATCAGCGAAGAGAGCAGGGAGAGAGAGGTTTTTATTGATTTTTGCTGACTGCAAGCCACTCTGCTCAAGTAAAGGCCTGGTCCGCCCTTGGTTCCTCCTATGCCAGGTGCCTTCTGGTTATCTGAGCTATGCTGTGCTCAAGGCTGCAAGCTTTCCGCAAGATCTCTGCTAAGCACAATAAGTCTTTCTCTGCCCCATTACTCTCTTTAACCCTTTCACTGAGCAGCACTTCAAAACGTACGAAGAAGTGGAAAATTGGGTCTCTGAATGGTTTGCCTCAAAACAAGAAAAGTTCTATTGGGGTGGTATCCACAAATTACCTGAAAGATGGGGGAAATGTGTAGCTAGCGATGGACATTACTTTGAATAAAGCACTTTTGATGTTTCTCTTGAAATTATCGTGTTTTCTTTGATTACAAAATCTGCATTATTAACCAGTACACCTAGTAAATCTTTGAAAAAATGAATTACTTTGTGCATATTTCTCCACCTCTTGGCTGACAAGGAGTTGCTCAAGCCTCAAACAGCATGCCTGTAGTTAATTAGCATCATTGCAGGAGCTATCAGTCTGAAGGCCAGAGAGGAGCATTTCACTCTGTTACAGCCTCAGTAAATATTTAATGACTAAAAGAGTGAAAGAAAACACAAACAAAAAACCTTCATTAAATAGGAAAAATAGCTTTTCACTACAAATTCTGTGCAATAAAAATGTTATAGGGCAGTGAGAAGCTAGAAAAATTTTAGGACAAGTGGGATAGGGAAACTGAGACAGGAAAGTTAAAACAAGGCCAAACAGTGAGGGCAATTTGCAGCTGGCCTGCAGATTACAAGCCATTATCTTTGAGAGCAAATGGTTAGAGCCTCCCTCCTGAGAGAATGCAGGCAGGAGGGGGAGGAGAAAGAAGAAAGGCGGTTTCATTTCCTTTACTCAGCAGAGAAGCCAGCATCCTCAAGGCTGGACAAGATAAAGCGGCAGACGCTTCTCATGTGTCCTGGGAAGGCCACACAAAGTAATAAGGAACCTTGAGAATTAATTTGCACCAACATATGCAGCAGGGAATTCTGAAACCTGTAGCCAGGAGGGTACATAATGCCTCCGCCCCCCCCGCCCCCCCCCCACCCGACCTGCTCTGCAGATTAGCTGAGCGCCTGTCTGCGCTGCATAAGCCAGATGGATAGGTTTGCTAGCCTTGCTTCTCTGATAAATGTGCATGCTTTAATTTTAAAAATAAATTCACTTTAAGACAATGTGGTGATTGCCCGGATTCACTCATTTGAATGTATTCCTCGGAGTAGGACAGTCACTGAGTGGGGACTTAGGGGCTGTCCCAGGGCACCTGCCTGTGAGAGGCGCCGGCACAGAACACCTGCCCAGCCAGTCCGGGGCCTGTCCCAGGTGCAGCAGCGAGGGGGGCGCGTGTGCAGGTCGCGCAGCCACGAAGACAACTCCGACCCCGCCAGCTCGCTCCCCGCCGCCGGTGACTTAGATCCCGTCGGGATTCAGGCGCTAACCTTGGGCCTCCAACCCAAGGAGCCAGTTGGCGCCGGTCTGAAACCGTCGCCTTTGACTGTTTATACTTCCTGAGGAGGCACAGAGGCGACGAGAGCGAAGGATCGGGAGGTAGAAAGATTTTTAATTCTCACGCCACGTCTGGCACGTGTTGAATAATTTTGTAACCGCTGCAAGGAACACCGTTCAGACAAAAGCAAAAGTAGGCCCACCCCCTCCCAGCCCCCACCAAGGCCCGACCCGGACGCCGGCCTCGCCCTCCCAGCCCCCTCGCACGGCCCCGCCCCTGGCCCCGCCCCTCCGCCCTGGTGCCGCCCTCTGTCGCAGGGCGTCCTGTGATTGGCTGTCGGGAGTGCGGCCGCTTCTCCGGACGTGCGTCACGCCGCGAG